GCTGCAAGCTTTGGAACAGCTGGCCCAGCAGCTGCACAGGGAGAGCCTGCTGGCCTTCACACAAAAGGGTCCATTGTGCTGGGTGAGTGTCCCTGGGACTGGTACCCAGGGCGCTTGCTCCACTTGCCGGGTCCAGTGTTTAAAGACCCTCCCATGCCTTTGGGGTTGTAGGTACTTGCCTAGTAAGGGCCAGGCCATGGGTTCCATTTCTGGCACCAGCCAGACAAAACAGGCCTGGAGTGTCAGTGCAGGCCCGTAATCTCGGCAAATTCAAGGTCAGGCTAGACTACCTAGCAAGTTCAAAGCTAGCCTAGAGCTATGTGTGACCCTGTCAGAAACAAGAAGACATTAAAAATCTGTTAACACCAGGCAAACGTCAATCAGAGCTTAGTTAAGGCACAATTTAGGGAGCGTGTTTTTCATGCCTGAGTGAAGCTTGCCAAAAACTGCTATGCTCATGATCCTGCTCTGGTGCCTTTTTCCAGATATAAAAGCAGAGGCCTAACTTGTCCCAAATCAGGTAGGCATAAAACTGTAGAACCAGGAATAGGCACAGAGTTTGTGTTTGCAACCCCTCTTCGCCTGGCAGCCATGGACTTGTGTGTGTTTGCAGTCCCTTCAGGCAGTCTAAAACTCCTAGGCAACTCCAAAATTATACTGCTGAGTTTGGTCTTTTGGGAGATGTAAGATAAGTCAAATCTGGACCACGTCTTTCCTCTGCTTATGACCCCATGGTAGGAGTGGGCTTTAGCTCGGCGATAAACGCTTGCTTAGCACATGTGAGGTCCTAGGTTCAGTCTTTAGTGCTCCGGCAGAGGCCTCTTCAGCTGGTGGGGAGACTGTCTGATCACAACAGTGCTTCAGAATGGTTGGTTTGTGATGACTCAGAAGACAAAGAGCACGGGGTTCATTTTCCCAGGTGACAGTGGTCAGCTGGAGAGGCAGTGTGGCTGTCCCTGGTGCTTTGAGACTGGTCTGGACATCAGTGGTACTGTGGGGCAGGGACAGAGCTCAGACTGATGCCTGGAACTCTCAATGGAGCTTGTCAGGGTCACTGGGCTGATGCTCTCTCTATATATCCCTGACCCCATTAAGTCTCTGCCTCCTACTAATTCATCTTAAAAAAAAAAAAAATGATGAGTGCTCTATCTGCATGTCTGCCTACAGGCCAGAAGAGGGCACCAGATCCCGTTATAGATGGTTGGGAACCACCATGTGGTTGCTGGGAATTGAACTCAGGGTCTGACACAGCCAGTGCTCTCAACCATCTCTCCAGCCCCCTATTAATTCTTATTACCTCACCATCCCCTCCACACTCACTGACTTTCTGTCTCCCCACCTGTCTCCCCGTCTCCCCATGTCACTCTTTATCTGTATCATTCAATGTCTTTGTCGCTCCATGTTGGTCCGTCCTGCATTTATCTTCCCATCCTCTCCGTGACTGTCTCTGGCCTCAGGTCTGCTGCCTTGTCTCTCCATATCTCTCCATCTCCATCTTCCTGTTTCTGACATGCCTGGCCTTCCTGTTCCTCACGGGATGCCTGTTTGTCTCCCTTGTGTTTCCTGTTTCCACCACTTCTTGCCAGGATGGCCCAGATGCCTGGTCATGAGGAGCCCCAAACCTTCACTGTCATCTGTGGAAGGCCTGGCATAGCCGTGGTCCTTGCCCAAGGCTATATACCTGTCACCCTGGATGCTAAGCCCAAGCCCCTGGACACCCAGAGGCCCCCTGTGCGTAAGGGTCAGAGTGACAGGGTCGAGAGACAGATTTAGCGGTGGAAGAAGAGTTTTCACACTTGGCATTGGTCTGCCCCTGCTGCCTACTCCTGGGGAGGAGCAATGCCCCTAGCATCTGGGTCCCACTCCCATCCATTTGAACCTTGTGTGTGACCTCACAGCCTCATCCCTTTGGATGTTTATCCTCTGGGGTGTCCATTCCCTGCCCCCCCCAACTCAAACCCTTGGCAATCAGTAAAACAAACTGAGCAGAACAAGGGTCACTCGGTGGCTGGTTCTGAAGAGCCGCCATGAAGTGCTGTGCCAAGCCTGCTGTGGAGTTGTTGGACACGCAGTGAACACAGCCTGGAACCATCCCTGCCTACCTTTGGGCTCATGTCTGCTTGAGTAGAAGGTGAACGAGTAAACCAATTCACTTCCAGATGACAGGTGTTATAAAGAATGAAGAGGTTTGATTGACAGCGGTGGGGGAGGGTGGGTAGTCTATGGAGCCTGGAGAAGGGACAGCGGTGGAGAAGGGAGTGTGTTTGGAGAGCACTTGGACCAGTGTAAGAACAACTCTGCAGAGGCCCTGCCATCTGGGTCATCGGCGTAAGGAAGGCTGTAATGCTCTAGAGAAAACCTAAGGGGGTAGGTGCAATTTTTATAAGGAGAACAAAGATGTCACTGAAAAGGTACCTACCTGTGGGTAAAATATTAAGAGGGAAGGGAGAGGACCAAACAAGTGTTGGGGGAATAATTCCCCAGCAGAAGGAATTGCGAGGATGCAGGTGCTGGTGCAGTGAGCGTGTGTGCGTGTGTGTGTGTGTGTGTGTGTGTGTGTGTGTGTGGTGGTGGTGGTGGTGGAGAAAGGAACTGTGGTTGGTTTTTGCTATGTTGCCCAGATTAAACTGAATTGCAGGTCTTCCTCTGCAGCCTCCTGAGTGCTGGGGTTGTAGGCCTGGACCATATCTGTTAACACTGGCCGCCACCGGGGTTGATGCCAGGCAAGCAAACATGTCTGAGTCAGAGAGGGACCTGGTGTGGGGTCATGTTAATAGGGAGCCAGTTCTGCCAGGCTGGGGACAGAGAGCACAGAGGAAGCTGCTGCTCTAGTTCAGGCGGGAGATGAACAAGTAAGAACCTGGATAAAGGCCGGGAGAGGGAGAATAAAATTCTCGAACTATCTAGAAGAGAGAGCTCCCTTTCTGTCCGTCAGGAGGAGCAGGGGTGGAAGGCAGTGGCCAAGGCCAAGGTGATTTGGGGGGTAGCAGGCAAACCCAGCCAGGTGTGAGGCTGAGATGGCCCTGGCCTAGAAGTGAGACACATTTTCAGAGGTGGCATCCAGGGACCGATGGGCACCCTCGACACCACTGCAACCGCGATGC